GGAAAATGTAGCGTAGATGGGAGTGGCAACACGTCAATGAAACACCAATATTTTCATTGTTTCTTTACTTACTTGGTTATACAGAGATTGGATTTTATATCCAGTGTTTGAGTGACAAACGTCGATACTTGTATCGGCGTGATCTGCTTCAAGGAAAGAGACAGGTGGGGAGTTTGGCTGGGGCGGTACATCTATCAAATGTTAACGTAGGTGTCCAAAAGTTGACTCAGTGCGGACAGAAACCACACATTGAGTAAAAGGGCATAAGTCAGCTTGATTTAGATTTTCAGTACGAATACAGACGGAGAAATCCGGGCCTATCGATCCTTTTGATTTAACGAGTTTTTTGCAAGAGGTGACAGAAAAGTTACCACAGGGATAACTGGCTTGTGGCGGCCAAGCGTTCATAGCGACGTCGCTTTTTGATCCTTCGATGTCGGCTCTTCCTATCATTGCGAAGCAGACTTCGCAAAGTGTAGGATTGTTCACCCACCAATAGGGAACGTGAGCTGGGTTTAGACCGTCGTGAGACAGGTTAGTTTTACCCTACATTGGATTTTGTCATTGATATAGGAATCGTACTTAGTACGAGAGGAACCGTACGTTCGGACATTTGGTTTACGTATTTGTTCGAAAGGACAATGATACGAAGCTACCATCTGACGGCTTACAACTGAATGCCTCTAAGTTGTCACTAAATCCTTAATTAGACCAGTGGTCGTATGGAAGACGTTGATATTGTATTTTTCTTATGCTAGGAATGAAGTAGACTTTATTCGTATAGCTTCGCTGAACAGAGAAATGATGTAAATTTGAAGTGTTTTTGTGTGCAAGTTTTTGACATTGAGACACGTTTTACATAGCTTTGAATACTAGCAGAACATTGTTTTGATCTCTGATGCATATTCAACGGATTCCGATGATAGTAATCGACTTTTAAGGAATAACTTAAAATATATTTTGAAAACAAAAAACAAGCGAATAATTACACAGATATTTGACAATAGTTATTGAAAAGAAAATTTGGATAGAAATACATCTTTTGCATCCATAAATCGAACAGAAACTCTTTCAAGACGACTAATAAAATTTAAATCATGACTTGAATCAACATTATGTGATAATTCATGACAGGCAACCATAAAATAAAAATTAACTATAGTACGAACAATAGGAATGGATGATGAAGTATTATGAATGTATGGTTTAAGTTCATCGGCAAATACTTGTTCAAAATAACGAAGATTGAAGAATAATGCACCATTACTATTGAAAGCAATACGAGCTAAAAATAGAAACAAGAAAATGATTGTGAAATTCAAGCTAGTGATCTCTTATATAATTACCACTATCAATATCACGAAATAGATGCATTGTTTGCACAGACATGTTAAAAACATCTTTTGCAAGACCAGATAGTAACCAAGCCAATTGTTTGCCCTGATCAATCATGGTTTCAGTTAGGGTTACATTCCGATCAATATAAAGAGAAATTCCATGAAGATAATGATCATAACGAATCATAGTTGAAGCTGGAACAAATTCACATGAATTATTACTTTCATTTCTAGAATGTTCTGATTGATTAAATTCGGTTGCAGAATAGGATCGACTTGTTCGAATCATTGCTTCAATGTCAGCTTCATCAGAAGATTTATATCGTCCAAAATGATTGATACAATCTCTTTCAACTATACTTGAAATATTATCAACAGAATTATTTGGAAGAGAAGAAGGAGAATATCGAATAGGAACCAAAAAACTAAATCAAAAAAAGTATTTAAGAAATCTGAATGATAATCAAGCTGTTACTATAGATCCTACTCTTTCAAACTTTGAAAAAATCCTCGGTGTACTTGATCGTTTTGTTGATGTTGCTCTAGTTTATGATCTATTTGCTGTACTTCTTGTAATTGAAATGACTGTTCTTGATGTTGTAATGATGGTTTTTGTACATTCTTCTCGATTTTTGTTTGTTCATTTTGTAATGCCAATTTGATTGCTATGAAAAGAATTTAACTATTAACTAATTGAAAAATGTCAGTTACACTTACGTTGTTGTTGTTGTTGTTGTTGTTGTGCAATTTTTAACAATCGATCTACAGGAATTCCACGTCGTTTGAGCGTTTCCAATGGTGAAGCAAGTTTGTCACTGATAGAATGAACTAATGCATCAAGTGGTTTTTTATAAACAAATCGTGTTAATTCAGTAGCAATATCGATGTAATCGAGAGTTGGAATATCTTTTTGAATATATAAAGTAACTTTATTTTTTTCATGTTCCAAGGCACATGAACTGCATTCAATTGACTTCAATTAACAAAATATTATTGTATTATTCGAATAGAAATGTAAAAAAATCTTACATTTAGTGTGACTGTTCGATTCTGAAAAGTTAATTGACATTGAATTCCTTCAGTTTCATAAACAAAAAATTTTGTTCGTAGTAATTCAATACCTTTTTCATCAATATTGTCCATCCGCTCTCCCTATAGAAAAAAAATAAGAAATATATATTGAAAATAATTATTTTTAAATAATAAACGTTACTCTATTATTAACAAATAACATATCCAAGCGATAATGAATTAGATCGTGTAATTTTTTGCTTCTTTCTGTTGCAAAAAACTTTCCTAAAAAAAAGTTCGAACTATTTTTAATATTAATCTGCAAAAAATATTAACCTTTATGCATCAACGTTCGTTTAACACTTTCTGACAACCATTTTGATCCAAATAGTTCGTATAATTTAGTTAATTCTGGTTCATCAGGTGCACATAATGGTCGAAGATCAATTGCAGATTGATGATCATCATCCAAATAAATATCTGTTGGTTTAGCAATTTTGAAAACTCGTTCTCTATTTCCATCAGATCGTTCGATTATTTGATAAGCTAAACACCATGGTTTATTAATTAAACGACTTCGTAGTGGTTCAACATTCAAATGTTGTGCAACATTTGATACAGCAGCTAATTGTTTCAAACAATTTGTATAAATATATAATTTAGCTGATATCATATCGTTAGTATAGTCTTTCATTTGAGCAAAATAAGATGCTTGTCGTTCAATCAATAAATCAGCCAGATTTTCGGCTGATGGATAAGAAAGAACTCCAATACTAAGAAGAAATGAATTAGCTGGACGACCATAATCTAAATAATCAATAAGACCATGTGTTGCCGTATCATCTATAGCGTTGATATCTTTATCAGGAGACGCTTCACCAGTTGATGAACATTTTGACCGAATAAATACTTGAGATGGTTTTACAAAAATATTACTTCCTGAAATATATTAAATTTAGGTATGATTATTTATTAAAATGATAAAAAACAAACCTGGTAAAGGAATAAATGCTCTATTAGAAATTCTTTGAATAAATGCTCTATTAAGACCCTCTAACTTATTGAAATAAGAAAAATATGTTGGAGCAGATTCAACAGTTAATAATTGATTTCTTCTTTCCATTAAAATATCAAAAGCCATGGCTAGCGGAGGACGCTGTTTGACACCAAGTAATCCAATATCAAAATATTGTGAAAAACATCGAAGCACATCAGGAAGTAAAGATGGACATAATGGTCCTGGTTCTAATTTTACAAATCAAAATAAATATTATTCCAAATAAAATCTAAAACAAACCTTTAAAAACAACTTCAGGCGTTGTTAATATAACTTCTGTTGATTGATTTACATCAGGAGAAGATGATGGAAGGAAAGGTATTTTAATATTTGCATTTTTCCATACTTTGGAATAATATTGTTGAAAATTTTCTGCGAGAAAAACAAGTGCATTTGGTAATTTATATTCCACTTTTGTTTTTGATCCATGATAATGTTCTTGATCAATTCGAGCGATTAATTTATGTAAATCTGGTACTTCTCTTACACCAAGTTCTTTAAGAAAAGAATATTCTTGTGAACGTGGATTAATATCCAACCAATCTATAATTGGTAACTGATTCCATTGAAGACGATTAGCTACTGATGGAAAATGAAGATCACATGGTTTATGTTTACGTTTCGTTTCACTATTGTATTCTAATGTTGTTCCTATAGAAATAATGAAAACCGAACACAATATATCTATTTACCAAGATGAAAAAAACTAACCTATAATACATGGATTCTGTTTTAATGCACGAAGATCATTGTCACTCATATTTTTACGTTGTTGCAATACATCTTGAATAAAAGTTTGAAGCGTTTGTGAATCATCTGATGAACTATTCGATTGAATCGTTAAATTATTTGTTGATGTTGGAACATGAATTGTTCGACATCCGATTGATTTAAGAAATTCAATGGATACTGGATAATCAGTTGATTCTTGTTTATCTTTCTGATTCTTATCAGTCGAAATTTGTGGGATGTAAAGTGTAATTATCGGTAAATTGGCAGATAAACTGGATGATCGAATATATGATTCATTAGGTGAATTCATTCCCTGATTTGTTGGAATGCATTTTAGATTAGATAATATACCTTTTATTTTGTTTGATTCTGTTTCATTAAATTGATTCCAACGTTGAGAAATGAAACTAAGAATAATTCGAGATGTATTCTCATTCTGAAAGAGATGTTGTTGATTTTCCACAAGGTAAAATTCAATCAAATTTTTCATGGAAATTGCCGATAATGATAATCGTCTTTGTAAATCTTCTCGAGATATATGACTCACGACATTTGATGGTAATACATTTGGCGGAAGCGGTAGAGATGATAAATTCAAAGTATCATAAAATTCAATTTTTTCTAATTTAATAATAGATGATTGACGAGTTTCACGGTAACGTATTTTTAACAGGATTTGTTTCATGTAAGATTTATTATTAATATCATTACTACATAACCAACGAAGTAATCCAATGAATTCATCAAATTCTAGAATAGATTCATGAGCTTTCACTAAAATTGTATCATGATCAATTTCTTCAATCCATTGACGTTTTTTTAATGCTTTAAAAAAATCATTTTTCCCAATATCGAATGGAACAAGAGGTACAGGAAGAAACGATTGAATATGTTTAGAAGTTGTAAGAAAAGCTTGTGTAGATGAAATCAAGGAAAGATGATGCTCGGATGGAGATCGTTTCACTGGAACAAGAACATCTTTATCCGATGAGAAGAATCCATCAAGCAGAATACGACCTTGAAAAACAACAACAAAAGAGTATAAGAAATAAAAATGAACATAAGATACAAACCAATATCTTTATTTGGTGCTGATGGTTGAAATGCATAAAGAGAAAGAATAGCATTGAGTTGCTGATTTGATTGTTGTGAAGTATTATTAACAACATCAAGAATTGTTTGATCATAAATAAATTTAACAATTTTTCCAATACATGTTAAAAGTTGTTCATTCCATATAGAAATATATGGATCTTGCAAATCAATGTTTTCACGTTCAATAGTTGGAATTAAATGACTAAATACATGCATGCCTATACCTGTTGATTGTTGTGTTGCTAAACCAATAAATATTTGACCACACGGAATGATTTCTCCATCATGAATTTTAAATGGAATCAATCCTTTTAATATTTGATTATTTAAATTATTATTTGTTAATGTTTTCCATTGCTCGTCTTCAAATATCTAAGAAAGAGAAACAAAACAGAATACAAAGATACATGTAAATATAATGAAACATACATTATTTGATGGAAATAAAAATTCAATATGTATAGTAGAAGGTAAACTTTTTTTCAGAACACCTTGAATTTGTTTATGAAAGCCTTTATCAATAATTACTTCAGCTTCGACATCAATATGATTAAGAGTTATGGATGAATTATTTACTATAGAAAATGTTTCTTCAGTTTGTACTAATGACTTTAAACGAAGTAAATTATGTTCATTGTTGGAATTGATTTTTTTTGCTCCTGTTGATAATTTCGTTGATGATAAAGTTTTTCTTGTTTTATTAGCTTGAAAAACAATAGTACCGTTTATTTTAATAATTAATTCATTTATATATTTAGTAAAAGCAAGAACTTTTGTGAAATAAGCTTTTAGTTGTATTAAATCCAAAGTAGGTACTATTTCATTTGTTATTGTATTTTTTTTTGATTTTGTCCGTCTCTTGCTTTTGACGTGTACTTTCCTATTTTTAGTATTTTTATTATCTATTTCGTTTGTTTCTAGTATTGGTTTTGTTTGTAGAATATATTTATTCTTCATAGAAAGAATGATTGAAGTTGATGATGATTTTTCATCAAATGGTAATTCTTTTCGGAATGTTGTTAATGATTTTCCATTTTGCCAAACGAATGCTAAACAGTGCTTTCCAGATTGAATCATTGGTCGCTCAGAATAAGAAAAAACTGAAAAGAAACCAACGCCAAATTGTCCAATAGCATCAACATTGGTATTTCCTTCAGCTATGGTTATCACTCTTTTCCAATCATCTTCACTAAACACATGACCATTATTTACTGCACGGATTTCAGTTATTACACAATTATTAAAATCATTTTCAGTTGGAGTTTGATCATTTTTGTCTGGATTAGAATAAATTGTATTTACTCCGAAATGGTTTTTAATCGATTGTTCAATACCTTCCAATGTATCGTTTGTTTGTCCTTGATTCATTGATAAATAATCACTATTAATCGATTCATAAGTTTGTGTTGCAGTAAAAGGATCACACGTGATTTCAAGAGTAAATGAAGTTGCTTGAGCATCATCGGAATTTTGAATTAATTCCCGATAAACAACAAAATCAGATGAGTAACGAGCCAACATTTTATCAATCAGCATTCGTTGATTAACTTCTACACGATCTTCTACACCTTCATTTATCACTTTTAACCACAGTTCATCTGATGGTAACGATTTTGGAATATTATATTCACCCATTTTTCTTAAAATGAATCTAAAACAATTCTATGATTTTTTTTCTATTTTCTAAGCACTAGAATGATCAATAAAAGAAAATCCTTCAATAGATTATAGTAGATACAAATAGAAATCACTCCTCTCAACACTCATTGCCTAATTACAATGCAATAACTGAGAAAGTCAGATCTAGTATTCTAATCATCAATAATTATTTTATTATTTATCTTTATTTTCTTTCAAACTCATTCTTACTGACAATAAACTCTAAAAATGATTGAAAAAATATTCTTTCCAATAGACTACAGAGCTTACGTGTACAAGGTCTTTTTTTTCGATGTTAATCTGAAGCATTTTCCATATTGCATTCGTCTTATATACTACTATTCGATGTATGACTCATTACAAAAATATACAGACGAGAAGAGCAGAACGACGACAGCATAAAGAATCCAACAAAGGAAAGAAAAATCAAGAACATACTCTACTCGCACACGACATTTATAATGACTCACAGAGCAAAAAATAAGGACATTTTCATTACAATGAGAACAGAATCAGTTGAGGGTGGAAGAGGAAAGATAAAAACACGAATTAGTACATTGCATTCGTTCTACTCAGATGAACGTTCATTTAGAAAATTCTAAAATTTGCATCATTCGAATTCTGAATAATAATTTTTAATAAGTGACATGTTTAGAGTCTATTCAAGTAGTTGAATTTCGTTAAGGAGTCGTTTTGCTTCATGTATTTCACTTTTGAATCCACACTCGACATAACCAAAAGAACCATCATAATTTATATGTTCACTAGTCCAATGCACACAACCGTTATGTATCTCTCTTGATAATTCTTTTACAATTTCAAATCTACTCCAAGATGGAGACTTAAATAGGAACCTTTTGAAAATGTATCAGATCTTCAACGTGTTATTAACCATTTTATTGGATAAGACATTAAAGAATAAATACGACAAAGAGAATAAAATACTTCTTCTACAATTTTTTCATCTGTTTTTTATTCTAAATGTCGCGTTGCTTCACCAGATACTTTTAATACTCGCATGGAATACTGAGGTAAACAATAATAAAATTTAAATCGTTCAGCAACGATACTGATTTTACGCAAGTTTTTCTCTCGAAATATGTCAGAAAATTGAAGATAAAGTTTATTCAATAAACCAAAACCTGTTTTGTGGATAGCCTCTTCTTTCCATTGAGATAATGAAGGGAAAAAAAAATAATTGAATTTGATTTTAAACAATTCAGTGAAATAATTAAAAGACCATATTTACACAAGTATGAACACTTAGTTTTCATCGAAACTCGAACTAGCTCATCTAGGGGTGCATCAATTCCAATTCTAAACTTGAAATTGGGCATCCCTAAGCTCGTCAGATTCCGGTAATATATCCAAATTAGTTACCATAAAATGTAATTCAATCGGAAGATTATATTTTGAAGCTATATCTCTAACTAATGAATTCAAACCATTCGCAATGGATAAATCACATTCTTGAAGACCATCTTCTCTTTTTTCACAATGTTTACTTGAAAGTTCATTTAAACGTGAACTTTCATGAATTTTTGTGTAACTAAGACACATTTTAAGAAGACATCTTATTTGCTCATCAGAAATATTGTTCAATTGATCATTGACTATATCTAGTATTGATCTATCAGATGCTTCTTTTCGATATGCCTCAACAATCGATAATAACTCTTCGATAATTTTCATTGCTGTATTAATTAAACCGTCAGAGATAATATTTCCATTTTCATTACAAATTTTCACATTTGATTCATTATAAGAATCAGATTCAATAAAATCTTTATTGAGTAAAATATAATAACTACGGAATATATTTCCTGGTCGATGATGACAAGAGCAACGAGTACCAATGTCAACTAGAATATTCTCACTAAATATTGTTTTATCAGTAAAGGCTCTATCACCAATTCTATTTTGTGCTTCCATAATAAGATAATCTACATTGGGTTTCATTTTCTCAAATTCAATTCTAGCACCAATATGAGAAGAATCACATCTAACATATATGAGGATGTAGGTGTGGATGTGTTACTTAGTATTTGATAGATTCAAAGCAGAATACGATGCGTTTCGACTATAGCTTCAAAAGTCATCATCAGATATCTTTAGAAACTATTACTATATAATAAGAAATCGATTAATAACGAAAATGTGCGGATGAATTTCGGATAAAATTTGTTTATTTATACTCATTACTTTTTCATAAGCATTTAAAGCTTCTTTGCACTTCTATTCGTCCTTAGCTATTGCACCAAGATTATTATAAACAGATGATACATCCACAGAATCCACCGGCAGATCTTTTAATACAAGATTGTAATAACGTTTTGCTTTTTCGACCTCTCCCATGTCTTGTAAAAATCTTCCTAAAAGTACTACAGTTTCTTTTTCTCTCAGTAACATTTTTTGATAATCAATGAGTTGAATTAACCGTTTATCTTCTTGTCCCGTAAGTATGAGTTTTACAAACCACACATTATTTTCAATATCAATAGAGGAGATTTGAAAAATTGTACCCATCGATAGAAGAATTTCATTTTCATCTTTCATATGACTATGTTTGCTAACATCAGCAAGCGACTTGGATTTATAACAGTGAGTCGTGTCAATAGTCATTTCAAATAGAACAGAACGCTCATATGACGGAAGATTTGCACCATCACCAGCGAATATTGAAGCAACTTCTTTATCGGTTGTTGTCGATAAAAACGTATTCATTGATATTAGCTGGTCAATATTTTCTTTCAAATGTTGTAATTCTGTTAACCCTATACTTTGACCACGATAAACAGTTAACTTCGTTGGAAAATGTTGTGAAGAATATAAATTGAGTAGCTGTTGGTAAAGATCAACAACAAAAAACCGAAATTTAAATATATTATCAATATCTTTTGTTCTAAATGCTCGATTCAAAAGACGAAAAAGAAAACAATTTCGTGTATACCAGAAAACAGCATTTCTGATTCATAATATTCATCAAATTCATTGATTTTTTCTTGTTCACTTTCATTCCCTTCATAGCATTTTCCACTAAGTTTTATTTAATCAGCCTTTGCACTTTGAGTTGATGATGGTATTCGTAATAGTACATCAATTAATAACTGATGCCAAATAAATGAGACATTTTCACTCGTTGTCAAATTACGTATTGATCTGTCTTGATGATTGGAAAATATTGATAGAGGCAATGTATTTTTTTGCTCGCTCTTTATTAATTCGTCAAGACTAATTAAATGATTGCTATCACACGAAAAACATAGCTTCTCATCATCTTTAATGTCGCTATTATTTCTATACGCATAGATTTTTTTAATTTGCTCTAAATCGTAAATTAGCGGAATAAGATAATCAACGTAGACACCTGATAATATTAAATAAAATTTATCTTCGGTTTCCGATGTTATATAATTTATACATTGATCAGCATTATTAAAGAGTTTCCAATTTTTTGCGAAATATCGATTCCTGAATGATCATTCATTCACGTATTGGAAAATGTTCAGATCAAGCCAAACTGTAATCAAGTTGCTGTCCATTAAATAAAAACGAATGCGTTGACAAATTGTGACGAAAACTTGTTCTTCTATTCAGTGCAGACGCATGCTGCTTTTATTTTAACCACACTTCAACTTATTTCAATCTTCCTCTTTGCTTCTTCTTCCTCTCCAACATACACATACTGTACACATCCACACGTCGTTTCTCGTACAAAACTTTTCCTTCGTCTTTTGAATAAAGTAACATTTGCATTGCATCAAGCATCACATCAATAGATATGCCTTTCGATTCACTTAGGCTGTTAAATAACTTGTATTGCAGAAAAAAAACAGAGCATAAAGGAGAGGCTATTTCAAAACACATAAAACGTCACGTGAATGAGTTCCGTATGTTGTATAAGAAAGAAAAATAAAAAGAAACAACCATGTGACGAACTATTTCAGAATATCTGTTAGCATGACTGTTTTTTATTCTGCACAGCAGTGTCTCAATTTTTTCCCCCATAAACGTCAACAATGTCACATCATGGCTTCTAGAATATGTTGATTCAACAACACTTTATCCAAGCATTGATTGTGTGCTGTTTCTCGTATGTTGGAAAAAACCAACTATTGACGATGAATCAGATACACCATTATTCATTTGCTGCTCCATTTTTTTTTCTATGCAAATGGAAGCAGTTATTCAAGTACACTCTGTGTAAGCAGATCAACTTCTTGAAAAAAAGTAAAAGAAAGCATTTGCGTCAATCAAATTTTCTTTGCTTGTTGTGGATGACTCCTGTGGTCCACTCAACAAGTTTTATGCTTGTCACAAATTAGGAGAAAGTCCGTAGTGTTAATGACTTCATGTAGGGAACAAGAGTGAATCATCTAAAATCTAAAAGATCTTTTTTTTTATCATTCGAACTTATCGAAAATGATGTTCTAGTCTGCAGATCAACGTTGTCCTGTCGTCGTTGTGGAGAGACGAAATTTTTTCTTATCAATCTGAAAGAATTTTTTGGCTAGAGAGGGGTTAACTTTCGTTAGGTAGCACATATGTCTAATAGTGAGAGAATGAAACTTTTTTCTTTCTACAGTCGCCATCTTTTCAGTTAATAGGTATTGGGGTTATTCTGCACAATACGTGAAATAAATCACTTGTCCTAATGGCAGTCAGCGACATACATGCAGACAAATTTACTTTCATGACTTTGAATTGCGCTTGACGACAGAGTACGTTCAGTTTTCTTCAGCACGATGACACATGAAAATCATTAAAACACAGAAAAACATGTTTCCTTTTCTTCGTATCGTTAAGTGTAGTCTTGATGGATGAGTGTGGGTATGAATGTGTGCGTAGGTTCTGGTGTTCTCTCGTCCCACACACATCCCACACGCACAGACATACCCTCAAACTTTTTTATGAGTACTTCAATCAAATTGGGGTGCGTGTCTTTTTCTCTTGAAAATATTGTACCTATGAATTTT